CCCCTCAGTTCAGGAAGGACATGGAGGGGCTGGAGCAGGTCCAGAGAAGAGCAACAAGGCTGGGGAAGGGACTGGAGCACAAGTCCTATGAGGAGAGGCTGAGGGAGCTGGGGTTGTTCAGCCTGGAGAAGAGGAGGCTCAGGGGAGACCTCATCACTCTCTACAACTCCCTGAAAGGAGGTTGTAGCCAGGTGGGCGTGGGTTTCTTCTCCCAGGCAACTATCAGCAAGACAAGAGGGCTCAGTCTTAAGCTGTGCCAGGGCAGGTTTAGGTTGGATATTAGAAAGAAATTCTTTGCAGAAAGGGAAATCAGGCATTGGAATGGGCTGCCCAGGGAAGTGGTGGATTCTCTGTCCCTGGAGGTTTTTAAGATGAGACTGGATGTGGCACTTAAGTGCCATGGCCTGGTAACCACAGTGGTAGTAGATCAAGGGTTGGACTTGATGATCTCAGAAGTCCCTTCCAACCCAGCTGATTCTATGATCATACAATAAAGATCAGGACATTTGGATACACCCTGTGTATTTGTACACATAGACTCCCAGAATCTTACTGTCACCAGTCACCCATGCATTCAACAATCTCTCTCTGCTTTGGGACTTTGACCAGTTGGGAGATTAAGACAGCAAATTCTTCTCTGTCCTTATAAAAAGGAACAGGAAGTATATAGTTTCTATCCTTGGGGATCTGTGTGAACTTATCTTTTCCACACTATCACTTTCTTCTAACAAGTAACAGCAGCTATTTCACTATTATGATGCCAGTACAGCAAGACAAATTAAGCTCTAAGCTGTCTTCTCAGCCCTGCACAGCCCTTTCCACTTGGTCAGTGTCTGTAGCTGAGTCTTCCAGCAGTCTGATAGATTGCTCTCCCTTTGGACATCAGCAAGGATATACAACAGGGTTTTTTTCCCCCCTCTTCATGAGCAATACACAGCATCACACTCACAGGTGGGGAGCAGCTATAAAGAGCACTACATCATTATGTACCTAACTCCTGACATTTCTGAATGCAGACGCTGGAGTCTGCACTTGTTAGTGCTGGGTAATCAACACCCCGGTTTGCAGGCAGAGGTGGGCATGAGGCAGCGCTGCTTACATTCCACTCTGTGTGCTGAAAGGCAGCAAGCGAGTTCCGTGGGGCGAACAGCTTTGCGCTTGCCACGCTGCATCTCCTCCAGCAGCAGGAGCATTTGGTACGGGACATTGCTCCTCCTCTGTGCGGCACACGGTGGCACTGTGATCCTACAAAGGGAAGAAGCAACACGGATGGTCATCAAGGGGTACAATGGACAGACATCACACCTGAAGGAGCAGAGGTAAGTAGCCCAGCTAGCAACTCAAGAGGAACCAGAATGGGTATATTTTCAGCAAAAGAAGGAAAAAGGGGAAGCAGTCACCTGCACTAGCTCACCCCACAGTGCAGGATGAAAGTTCCAAAGTGAAAGGCCACAATGTTAAGTCGGCCTGTTCCTCAGTAAGGGACAAGCCAAGCAGGACCTCAAGTGCTTTCTGGGCTCTAGAAATAACATTAGTTACAGCCAGTTTCAGAGCTGTTCTTCCCTCCCACTGATTCATGTCCTCATGCTCAACATACCCTCAAAATTCCATGGGCACATAAATCATAATGCTTGTATTTCAACTATATGCCAAATGAAAAGCTCTTTATCCTCCCTAAATTTATTGCAGTCCACAGGTTTTTCTAAGTCTTTCTTCAAATAACCATGATAACCTACTGTCTACATTATTTAGCTTTGCCCATTCATGACACTTCTCATCTCTGCATGTCTGTAACATCTTTCTCCTCTGCACAGTAGTGAGCATCCAAGAAATGTAGAGAAAGAACTGAATAGGAATGATCCACTTAGATGTTTAAAGCTGCAGTGAACTGAGTAAACTGAAAACAAATAAAACCAGTTCTTATTGTAGCTGGTAGGGAGACAGAAGCCCAAATCCTCCTCACAAACAACCAGGGAGAACAGTCAAGCAAGACAAAGTAAAGCTATGTATTCTTGATCTGCAACAACATTATCAGTCTTCTCTATGAGGTGCTAACCAGAGCAATCAGGGGCCAGAGGCTGGGGATTACCAAATGTTTATGTTTACATGCTTAAAGTTACAAAATTAATAGTGGAAATGGTTAGGCACAACACATCCTTTTTAAAAATGGCCTATGAGTAAACCTGGAATAAAATCATATCCTCTTTTGGGAAAGAGAGATACAAGTCATAAAGACTCAGTTCAGGACTGCAGCTTACTGGTGTGCAAAGGGCACATGAATCAGAGATGACTAACAAGTCAGAATACTGCAACTTCTACTTTTGCAGGCCCTAGACTATGTACGACAGACATAAGGCAGAGACCTTGCTGAGGGAGCTGAAAGCACCTTTGATAGCACCTCAATGATCTAATCCTTCAAATGTACATCCCATATAAAAAAGAGGGGGAGGCAACAAAGCAACAATGGAAGTATCTCTGGTAGTTCAAACAAGTGGTACCTTCGAAGTATCCCTGTGAAGTGTATATTCATGAGGAACACTTGGAGCAGAGAGTTCAGACAGCAGCTCTGTCCAAGGTTATACAGTCCAATAGCTCCTGTAGGAATAGAAAAAGAGGAAGTGAGGCCTGGAGATAGGTACAGGAAAAGAAAGTGAAAATTATTTGAAAGTGGCAAACTCCTCTTGTCATTCAGTGGTATAGGCTGAGCATCTTGGTCAGACACGAAAAAGTGTTCAATCTATTCTTCTGTTGCTCAAGTAGATAGCTTTTAGTTTTGTTTGGCAATTGACAGGAAAAACCCAGTAAGCCTGGATAATGATACTCAGATTTCTCCCAGTTCCTCTATTTTCAGTCCTCTGAAACCACCTGAAACACCTAAACAGAAAATAAAACCACAGGAGGCAAAGGCTGCCTGTACGAGGACTTTTATTTAGCCTTTTACACAGCAAAGCCTAACAAAAAAATGAAGAGTTCCATATGGGACCAGATCCTAGCTGTCCATCACACAGGATTCAAGTTTGTCCTTCAGCCTGTCTCTGGTATGTTTTTTTCCAGTTTCAAAGGAAGGAACTATCCTGAGAGAAGAAGCAAGTCACAGCTGCTCCTGCATCTAAAAAGGTGGCATGTTCTGTGCCCCACTGTGTAGGATCGTGACCAAAGCAAGCACACAAAGGGTTAACGAAGCAGTGGACATTGCCAGAATGGAAGAGAATGTGGCAGAAGGTGGGAGGAAGCGTCTACAAGGTGCATGGAGCCAAAGGTGGCATGACCCAGAACAAGAAGATGATTGAAGAAAAGAAAGCGTGTTGAAAGCTGATAGCCGCAAAGATGGACGTTAGTTGTTTAGCAGGTAGAAATATGCACACTGTAATTTTATAGGGCCAAGTATTACTATTACTTGTTGATAGGTTGAAGAGGCTTAGCTAACAGACCAGAAACGAAACTAGTTCCTCTATAAATAGAGGCTTGAAATAAATAATAAACGATCCTCTTGCTGACCAGCGAGGGTGTCCGTGCCTCGGTCGCTACACCCCACTGCAGTATAAGCAACCCTGGTCAGAAATTAGAAATTTTGCTTCTGAAGTCATCACCAAAGAGAGAGAGGACACAGAATGGAAACCCAGAACACCTCTGAAATACATACAGTCAGTAAGGGTGGGCCTAGTTCATGGTTTAGTAAACCCAGAATCAATGCTGGCTTTGTTTGGAAAGAGACAGAGCCACCATCTAGACCTTTTGGGCTGCAATGGCCAATTTGAGGACTTACATGGGAAAAAGCTATGAGATCCTCATGCAATCCATTCCCCTAAAATGTTTATTTGGCAGGATAAAATAATAATCATCTGCATATTCCTCAGTGAAGAAGTAAGGAATAGGAGAAAATGAAGCCCGAGGACAGAATATAGAACAGCAGCCACTAGAAACAGAAAATATTAGAGCTAAGAACAGACAAAATATTATTACCATTTTTTAAGTCTGCCACACCAAAGACTGATGTCAGCCTCCGTTCCTTGGCCTTCAGCTCTTTGGCTTCATCTTTATTACTTTGTACTTCAGCTTCTGCCTCCATGGTCTCACTTAGTGCCAGCTCTGGTTTCTTGTCTCTTTCTTGATGTCCACTGTTTTGCCCCATCTACAATATTGTGAAAAGACAGAAGGACGGCAGAGAGACACAGCAAGATCAGAAAGAGTGGGAGCATCCAAAACCACCGGATTTGTCTGTGATATTTTCATTACGAAAAAGGTGAAATCACAGAATGGTTTGGGTTAGGAGGGACCTTAATCTAGTTCCAACCCTCCTGCTACAGGCAGGGATGCCACCCAGTAGATCAAGGTTGCTCAGGGCCCCGTCCAGTCTGGTCTGGAATATCAATAAAGTAAGCAAGATTACTGCAACAGCATTTGGTGTATTTGAATAACATGGATATTGTAGCTGTGCAAGGTAACAGAGTTTAAGGGCAATTGCTCATCCTGTCTTCCTCTCGAGGCTATATAAATAAATGAACCTTCAGTTCCACAGAAACAGCTCCATCTAACTAGAGAACTCCAGATATCCCTATTCAAGGAGATTTCATAAATAAGATGATTAAAATTATCCCAATGGCAGATGTTGCAAAACTCCAATGTTTAGTAAAAGCAACATTTTATCACCCGAAGTACCCCAAGTATTCAAAAGGGCAAATTTCACCTTTTTTTAGCCTTTTGACCTGATAAGCATGTTTGGTTTCTGTGCTGGGCTCCCTGCACTGTTTTTAAGTGCCTTATTCACAGCTCTACTGTGGCACTTTGGACTGCAATTTTTGAAAGACATTTAAGAACTGAAATATCAGTTTCTTTTTCTGTTCCTTCAAGTGATCACAGGCAATTGCACAAGGGAACCATTATAATACCTTGACTGTCGACAGACCATTACTCTGAGACATTCTCCTGTGACTCAGCTACTGACTACTAAACCAAAGTAAAAATACACGAGCAAAACAATATGATAAATGTTCAAATGCAACTATACAAAATTGAAACTTTTTATAAGCCCACCTCCAACACAAAGAACAGAATTAGAAAAAAGTGGATATGCTTAGGGAAGCATTCACAGGTGAGGAGGGGGGACCCACAAAACAAACGCTCAGATATTATTATTTTAAAAATATTAAACAGCACATAAAATCAGCCGAAGGCCAGGTGCTGAAAGAATGAAGAAAAGATACCAAGGAAGGGAAATAAGCAAAATATCCTGATTCTGCCTCTCACAAAAAGAAAATCTTTGTTTTAAAAGCATGTTTTCAGGTTAACTGTGCCTAATAATGTCAAATATCAAAGCTTCTGAAGACTGAGGCAGACAAACTAGAAATGGATTTTTTTTCCCAATTATTACCTTTAAGCTTAAGTATAATTATTTCCAACTGTACTTTTGAAGATTATTTTTGAACTCTGTCATATACTCAGATTCAATAAAAACTGTCGAATTTGCTGAGAAGTTTATTAGGGGAAAAAAATCCCCAACTCTGACAAAGACAGATTCAAGAATATTGCTTTTTATATACCCAAAATCCAGTGATTAGAACAGCTATGGAGGAAAAGAGAAATTTTATTTGATTTCTTCCTTGGTAAAACAGAGTCTGAACACACACTGCCGCCTTCCCTGGAATTGATTTAACAGTGCATTCAGGTTTCTGAAAGCCCAGCTGGTGTGGGAGCCCATCTGGGCCTGTACCATGAGAACCACTGGGTTTAGCTGGTTGGCCTTAGCCAAAAGGTAAGGAATGCTCACAGTCAGTGGGGATGTCAAAGAAGACAGAAAGCAGAGGGACAGGCAGTGCAGAGGTGGCAAAAAAATAGCTGGGGATGTAGCAGGGATGAAGCGAACTAGCAAGACATTACTTTTGTCAGGATAAGACAAAAGTAGGATTAATTAAGGGTAGGATTAATGAGTAAACTCAGGGTTTTGGGTGACTTGAGAAATAGGTAGAAAAATACTAGGGCTGAAGATGCAGGAGGATACAGAGAGAGGAGGACTTGGGTTTCTAGTTCAATGAAACTCCCCCAGGTACCTCTAGCAAGAACCCAGGTACTGGAGCAGGGACACGAATACAGTTTCCCAACCCTGGCATGGAACTGCCTCACTTTATCTGGCTGTCAGCAATAAAGCATTCTGAAGATTTGCACTTGACCGTCTTTCCCTTGCACAAGTGTATAAAAAAACTGGTGAGTGAGCTGAGGAACTGAGGAGTAGGCTCCCCTCCTGCTCCCAATTTCTCCTGTCTCACCAGAGGAGCAGGGTTACTTCTCAGGTTTTTTTGCAGGTCAGGGGTAGGACTTAGTACCCTCAAGTATGTGGCTTGGCTGCACCAAGCAACTCCACTAGCACTGGGCATCCTGTAATCATCTAACCCTCTCACTTGCTCTTCCTCAGCCAAGCCCATCATCCTCCCTCTCATCCTGGACTGCTCCACAGTCCATCTGCCCTCCCAAGACACTGGCTTCTCACAACAAACCCCCACTGGTGCCTTCACGCCCTGTGCCTCAAAGTGCCCCTGTGCCTGAGGAGTAGCCCCATCTCTGCCCCTGGTCACCCCTTCCCCACCATCATCGTCTCCTTTCCCCTCACGGGCATCTTGGGGCGCAGATGGTGCTGGGGTGGGTGGTGGGCTGCAGGTGGGAAGGCCAGGTTGGATGAGGCTCTGAGCAACATGGTCTAGTGGAAGGTGTCCCCGCCCATGGGAGAGGGGCTGGAACTGGGTATCTTCAAGGTCCCCTTCCAACCCAAACCATTCTATGATATTATGACTCTGTGATGCCCGAGATGCTTCTCGAAGGGCTCCAGCAGAGACTCAATGTGATGACCCATCCTCAAGGAGAAGTACCTAAGAGCGCATCACCTCCACACTTCTCCGGGATGCGACTGAAAGGAGACTTCCCACCCTGTTGTCGAACCACTCTCCCTTATTTCCCTCTTTTTATTACCTTCCCTCCCGGCACACCGCACCTCTGCCTCGACCTATCTCACAGACCAGCAAAAAGGCTTCTTACCAACTACCGCAGGACCCAGCAGCGCTTCGAGCCTCGGCTGGACCTCGCGTTCACCTGCTGACAAAGGGGGCAGCGGGGGCTCGGAAAACGCGCCTGCCCGCACCGGAGCGGCGCGGAGGAGCCGCTCACCCGGAGGAGCCGGGAGGGCAGCAGGAGCCGGCAGGGCTGCGGGATCCGGGAGGGCAGCGAGAGCCGGCAGGGCAGCGGGAGCCGGCAGGGCAGCGGGGCGGAGCTGGGCTGTCCCGCCGCTCGGGCTGCGTCAGGCGGCGGCAGCGCCCGCCCCGCAGTTTTCATTTCCCGCTCGGCCGGGAGAGAGGACAGAAAGTGAAACTCAGCGCCGCCCTGGGCCGCTTCCCGGCACGGAACAAGAGACTTGTCTCCTGTCCCTTCCCGGCCGAGGGACAAGAGACCTCCCCCAGCTCAGCGGCCGCTCGAGTGGCACAGCACTGGAACAGTGATGCCAGTACTGCCCAGGGATGCCGGTACTAAATAAATACTTCAGAAAAGCATCACTGCTTGGTTTTGCATTAAGGCTGAAGTATTCTTCCTGCTTTTCGAAAGCTGCTCAGGATGAGGAGAAATTGCTGAAATTCCCTCTGAATCCCCTAGCTGCTCTCTGTTGTCCAGTCTCGTGAAATGTAAGTAAAAGCAACTGCAGACGCTAAAAATGGAAAGCTTTCACCCAGTCTGTTCAGAAACACACATTTGTAAAAAATTCAACAACACCGATATAAAGCAGAAGCAAGCAACAGCAATAAAGCCATTTGAAACCATTACAAGGACAATTTTAAAAAGTCGTAAAAATAGAGTAGGTACAAAAACACGTGCAATTCTGTAGTTCGCTCAGCAACTTTTGTGACACATTCAGTTTCATGAAAAACAAACCTGATGGCACTATTGCTCAAGAAACAAAAGCAACACAGTAACCTACTTGCATGACAGTCTGATTTGATGCTTGGCACCACAGTTCTCAATAAACCCTACACTACACATGTGGCAGTTATGTTGAAAAAATGACGCAGCTAAAGCTGCTAATATTTGCATTAGGTTATTCTGTTTGCAACTTGCCTCTCAGAGTTCATAACTTCATATTCCGTGCGTGATCAATGACTCTCTTTTTCTGTTTCATTTTCACCCATGAAAAATACAGTGTTCTGAAAACCTCTCATTTTTTAAGGCCAGTGCCAAGTTTGATTCTACATTTTCTGTAAGAAACAGCAAGAACAAATATAGAACTTTAGCACACTTCAAAAACAGTAGTAATGTATTTGACCTGTATTAAAGACTGTATCTGACAGAAGATACAAATAGCAGGCAGCCATCCATTAATAAAGAAATTATTCAGCATTAACATGGCCATAGTATTAATGAATTCTTAATGAGATAATGCTGCTTACAACTGATTTTCCACGAACAAAGTTTCCATGGCATTATACAGTGGACAGGCATATAATTTAAGGAGCAGCTGAGGATAATAAAGAGATGAAGCCCTCTATTTACTTACCAACCAGGAAAAAAATGGCATGATCTCTACAGTGGCAAGACACAACTGTCACGCTGTGTTACCATGGGGCACTTCCTGCGTGAGGAATTACAAATGTCACATATTTAATGTGCTTTAGATGTGATTACAGCACCCGAGTTCTACCAAAACAGTATAAGGTTTTCCAGTATTTTCATTACAGGTTTCTATTTCCAGGTATGTTTGGAAGTGTTTTTAAAAAATGCAGTTTGCCAAATTGATACCTGGTACAGAAAATGAGAGTGAAAAATCTCTTGTTAGGTATCAGTGTGAGACTTAGGGAGTTTTTTGAAACTATTCATTAGATATTGCTTACAGGACAATCAGTAGATCATTTTCCACATTAAAAAGAACCAAATTTCTTTTTTAAAAAAATGTATTCTAAATAAGGAATCTCAAATTCACTTCTGGAAACAAAATTAAATTTGTATTTCCTTCTTTTATAGGGCTTCTTCTTGAACTAAAAATATTTTTTAATATCTAGGTGTAATCTTAGTTCAGTAGGTGAAAGAAAACTCCAAACTAATGTCTGAAAAGTGGCATTATCTACAGAGGTCTCTCAGCCAACTTGTCCTTTATTTATTAAATCCTGTAATTACATAATCTTATGATAAATCACAGTAAATTTGAAGGACATTATTTTAATCAATGAAGGGCATAATTTTAATCAAATAAAAGGTCTAGTTTATTTTTTGACTGAAACTTGCATAATGAAGAAAATAAACAGGTTATTTTCTATGGCCCTGAACACTTGCAGTTTCTGTTTGTGTTTATGAGGTAATTGAAACATTTTAGCTGTTGTTTAACATCTAAGCTTCTGTGAGTATACATCAAGACATCACTTATTATCATTTTAAGTAGATTTTTTTGCTCTTTTTTCTTATATGTGTAGGCAGAAAATATAAAACCTGATTTAAATTAATCACCCTACTGTAAATCCAATATAGTGCATAAGTAAAACAAGTAACTTCAAACACTGTGGTGGATTCAGATTACAACTCAAATGAGAAGCAGAAACCTTTAACGTCCAAAACAGTCAATCTAATGATCAAATTACAAGAAATTTTTTTAAATAATTCATAATAGAGACAAGTTTTTCTATAGTTCATATTGAATTTTCTACTTGCGTTCCTAATATGGCAGCCACCAGAATGAAGCAGGGTAAACCGTACACGTATTGGTTGCACTGGTTTCATGTTTGTCTCCAAGTGTAAAGCAATACTCTCAATATACAAAAGATTTTCTGTTCCACAACAAAAAAATCCCCCACACAAACCAACAAAAGAAGTGGAACTCAAGCACGAGGAAATTATTTTCAGAGTGACAGCCAGCTCAGTATGTCCCGATGCGCTGCTATCCAAAACACGGTGTAAAACCATTAATGTTTCCCTAAGATTCAGTGAAACCTCAGAAGGAACTCATAAACTCCATTTGAGATATTCTATGGGTGTGGCCCTGCTGGTATGACATTTTTAATGATCCTAATTAACCTCTTGGTTAGTTGTTTTACTTAATCATAGATTGCGTGTAAGGCCTTAAAATTAATCATAGATTGCGTGTGAGGCCTTAAATCACTTTAAGCCAGCATACAGCAGAAGTATGTACTTCCAAACATTTCAGAAGGCCACCTCTGACCTCCAAAAGTGATTATGTTTAGAAGTTGCTCCGAAACAAAAGGTGCCAGGTAAAAATAGCAGTTGCTGTCCCTTTCATTCCCTGAGCACTCTATCAGAAAGGTCTTGCTGGCCTCTGCTGGGCAGATGATCACTTGCAGTACCAACAGTAGGACTAGGTGTTTCCTTTCCTTTGGAAAGTACTGTCATTAACATCCAGGGACTACTCTTGCAGTCTGCACCTAAACTGAAAAGTTTCCAGCTCCAGTTTGCACAGAGAAATGTGCGGGAGAAAAGCCTGTTCGGACTCCTGCTCTGCACCTTCCACCTCAGCTCTAACTACAATCACACATGAACGCTGAAAAGTGAGGCTGAAAGAGTGTGATGGTCCTTAGAGCCGAGAAGGAAGGTGGAGAGCACTTGCAGTGGGACTGCAGATTACAGACTGTAAAGGAGAGGACTGTCACTTGATCGTGGTGCAAATACAAGGTTCTGAACAGGAGGGGCCATGTGCGAGCAAGCTTTTTGTCCCAAAACATTTCTCTCTGAGGGGCTTATGGAGCATCAGGCCCTTCTCAGTCTTGCCAAGTATGAAATCTCCATGTGCTTCTCACACAGAAAAATGTGTTAGGAGAGAAACAGAGTAGCAAACTGCTTCTGTGGAAACACGCTGGGGCCTTGTACTTTCTTTTCTCAGCTCTTCAGTGTACCCCATTCTGTCACTCTTGCAGCCTGAATCTAAACCAAAAACTGTCTGGCTACCTCCCGCATAGATGAATGTTCCACAGTAAAAGACTTGCTCAGACCTTGATACAAGACTGGAAACTCCATGATCAAGTGGCAGTCCTTTCCCCTTGCAGCCTATGAACTACAGTCACTCCATGGAGCTCTGCACTTTCTTACTCAACTATATCTATCGTGAAGCACTTTCAGTCTTGCAGAGTCTGATACACTTCTAGCACAGAACACAGTTGCTGAATCTCCCCTTTGCCTCGCAGCCTTCCATGTAAACACCACACACTGGGGCTTTGCACCTTCCTTCTCAGCTGTAGGAACTGTCACATTTTTTCACTGTCAGATCCAAGTTTCAACCCTTAAAATGTTCTTATGCTCCTATTAAAGAAAAGGTGCCAGAACAAAAACACAGGGTTGCCATTAACCTTCCCCTGCTGCTGATAAACTGCACCAAATATATGTACCGCTGCTCTGCACTTATCTTGTCGTACCACCACACTCTTGCAGTCTGAATCCAAACTGGAAGTTTTCCAGCTACAGCTCACACAGGTGAATGTGACAAGATAAACAAACATGCTCTGACCTTGCACTTTATGTTTGAAAACTCTTATACGCATCCCTATCGAGTCGCTTTCCACTTGCAGCCAGTAAACTGGGGTCACACTGTGGTTCCCTGCACTTTGCTACTAAGCTATATGTACAAGCATGTACCTTCAGTTATGCAGAGAAAAATGGGCTGATGTAACTACCAATAAAAACGTGTGGCATAACAGAAGAAGTAGCCAGGTAATTTTTTGCCATGGCAGCATTTCTGCAACAAAAAACACAGTGCAGCTACACAGCTTCCTTCTTATCTTTTCACTCTCACAGAGTTTAACTTAAAACCTTAAAACATGCCTCAGCTGCTCCAATACGAATGGCCAAAGAACAAAATTCCAGAGCTGCAAAAACTGCTGCAATGCACGTTTCTCCTCAACAATGACCTCATATTAAGTCGCACAGGGTCTAAAGCTAAATGGAAGTGTTTACACGTAGAGCTTGAATATGAAAATGTAACAACACAGAAAGTTTTGCTGACCTTCCCCCTTAGAATTAATAACTTGAAATTCAGACCACATTAGAGTGGTCCAAAGAAATGTGCTGGGAAAAAAACTGCTCATCCCTTGCCCCTTCTCTTCAGAACCTGGTACTCTCACCAGAAGTGATAGTCCTCTTCCACAGAGAGCTTGTAAACTACAGTCCCACTGCAAGTGCTCTGCAGCTTCCATC